TTCTCTTTCTGGTTGACCGATTTCACTCGGTTCCAGTCCCTGTGTGCATTTCACTTTAGGCGCTATTTCTTAAGGCCCTAGAACCACGTGAACTGCTGCTTCACTGAGCAGAGCGCAGATGGTTAGGCCAGGACAGAAAGAGGAGTGATAGTGTAACCGTTTTCGGCAGAACGTTTGTTGAGGGAATGACTTCACTTGTCTCTTTACGAGTTCGTAGCTTGGTGCGGAGAATGGCAAAACTCACTGATGATGCCGACGAAACGTTTAAGAAGGTCCAAGTCCACTGTCTGGTGCTGGGAATCATGACAACTACTATGGCAGACGACTTCGGACTAGGTGCGTTCTATTAAGTCCTCCTGACAACAAGACCAAGTTTCGATAACGAGGTCAACCCAACGTTGTTAAGTTCAGATTTACCTTGGAACCATAAAATACACAATTGGTATGTAACTAGGGGTAGTGATGAGACTGAAATGAAGTCTAAATAGCTTTTAATAGGCTTAGAGCTTAGGGCTTAGTATTTCAATGCCAAACCATGTTTTTTTCAATGTTTCGTTAATAGTGCCTGCAACAGCATAGATACAACAATATTTGGTTTGATAAGGAATTAGTATAGATTGCTTAAAGTGATTTAAGGACAAATAGTTGAGTTTTCCCACATAGATCAGTAGATTTCAGAATTCCATTAAAATTCAATTTAGCCTCGCCTCCAGAAAGGCGTTTCTCTTCAGGTAAGACTGCAGTTTCGAACTTGCCTCATCGTCTCCTCAACGTGCCAACGGGATTCTATACCGGGTCATGAGCATTGTGGCGAAATGATCAATCAGCTACGAGTGTCAGTGAGTCATTGGGCGAGGTTGAAACTGCTGTCAAGCCTGGGTAAGAAAACCTTCTGGGAGGCGACGCTATATATTTGAGTGAACAAAACACAACTATCAGTTTTTTCTCGAACCATATATATATAAAGTAAAAATAGACGTTATGAAGTCTATGATAATAAGGAGCCTGCGTCTAGCAGATGCAAACCATAGGGACTAAGAGATTGGTAGATTGAGGGATATACTGTCTTAAAATAAATACCCATTAGGATTAGTAGATAATTGCATATCAATTGTAATTAACAAGATTAAGGGAGTTTGCTATCAGGTTCCTGATTTTGCCTTCCTGTCAGCTTGCGAATAGGTTAGGTGAACTACTGAACAAATGGAACATAAAAGCAATGTGTAAAAAGAAATTAACACATTCTTCACTAGTTTCTCCGTTTAAAGAATATTCAGACCCTCTTTCTAGAACAGGCTGTTACAAGGTTTTGTGCTCATGTGGTAAAGTATATGTGGGATAGACCTGCCGACCCATTCAGAAGAGACTATGCGAAGACAAAACCGCTTGTAAAGGTCTGTGGGTCCAAAAATCTTAGGTCGCTGAACACATGGCCAATATAGGCAACTCAATAGACTGGTCCAAACCATAGCGCTTTGCGGGCTACGTAGACTTCACGTCAAAGTGTAAGATTAGGGAGTCTATAA